TTATTTGTGAGTAAATTCGTCAATAAACTTTTAGAAACATGTTATTTGGTCAAACTGGTAACTATTTCAAAAACTTGCAATGATACAAATATCAAACTTGTAAATGACTCTCATATGTACAATAAGATAGTAAGTACTCAATTCGGGTTTTCGGAGGTCTAACATGATATGAGAAGTAATTCTTCATATTTTTTATCAAAAGCACATTGATATAACAAGTTACTGTTTCTTAGATCATTATTCATTAGTACCAATTACTCCATTTGTCGCAAAATTAATATCTAATTTGAATTTTCACTTTTAATTCAATTTGTACTAAAAATAAAATTCAAACTGAACAATGAATTGTCGATAATTAAGCTCTTGTGTCGATAATTAAGCTTTTGGGACGAACAATGTATATCTCTTTAACAACAATCTGAAAGTTGTACAACTATATAGTTAATCGATTAAAGCTCTCCTGAATATCTGAATAATTACTATGATAATTGTCGATAATTAAGGTAAATTAGTTTTGCGAAACATATATCATGAAATGGGTGAAGAAATTAAGAAGAATCCAGAAGGCCATGGCCAGAAGAGCCAAAAGAACTGATTGATATATATATATATATATATATATATATATATATATATCCTACTATATTAGAAACAAAAACCTCACTTTCAAACACATCATATGATTGCCACGTGGCATGTAGAAAATACTAAATTGCCCTTTTGTCTAACCATAACTAAATTACTAAATCTCCCTTTGCACTTTACGTGACACGTTTTTTTTTTAATTTTTTCTTTATGTTTCATTCAACTAGAGTGGTTTTTTAAATTGAATTGATCAATTAGATTTTTTGTTACAAAAGTGTCAATTTTGTTTTAAGCGTATACCCTTCGGATGAAGCTTATTACAAAGCTATTAAAAATATCTAAAACTAAGTATTGATTTGGCATGACCAATGGAGAACATCAATAAATCATCTTACTAATATTTAAATTTATTAGGATGCTTTTATATTTTATCTAACATTTACTTCAACACATATATTCGATTAAGCTATTTATATTTAATAAGTAACACTTATAAAACCAAAAACCTCACTTTCAAACACATCATATGATTGCCACGTGGCGCGTAGAAAATACTAAATTGCCCTTTTATCTAACCATAACTAAATTACTAAATCTCCCTTTGCACTTTACGTGACACGTTTTTTTTTCTTTATGTTTCATTCAACTAGAGTGGTTTTTTTAAATTGAATTGATCAATTAGGTTTTTTGTTACAAAGTGTCAATTTTGTTTTAAGCGTATACCCTTCGGATTAATCTTATTACAAAGCTATTAAAAATATCCAAAACTAAGTATTGATTTGGCACGACCAATGGAGAACATCAATAAATCATCTTACTAATATTTAAATTTATTAGGATGCTTTTATATTTTATCTAACATTTACTTCAACACATATATTCGATTAAGCTATTTATATTTAATAAGTAACATTTCTAAAACATACATGGCGAAATATAATTTTTTTTTTTTTGCGAAATTAAATATTTCTATGATCACACTTATAAAACATTTCTAAATCCTTCAAAAATTTCTAAAATATATCGCTCCAAATACAAAATTTTATTTTTTCCAAATATAAACATTTCTAAGATCTACAAATAGACTGGGCCAGGGTCGCGCATTGCGCGACCAGACATCACTAGTATATATATATATATATATATATATATATATATATATATATTCAATGACCTCTTGTGTTTAAAATCAAAACCACAAATGTAAATGCCAAACCTTCAATTCTTTCCAACAGTTCTTCTCGTGAGTCCGCCAATCATCACACCTCATTTCACTGCAACCGACTTGCCACACTTTCCACACATAAAACGTTGTGATCGTACCGCGTTTTTTCCTCTCGTGGATCTGCATGATAATATATTTCATGTAGGGATGAAACAAGAACGGCAAAATATTAACAAAATCTAATGGGAAAGAATGTAGTTTTGCTCTCGTCGTCAATTATACCTAATAAATTTTTGGTTAGTCAACTTTACCTTAATGTTTGAAATTTTTGCCAATTTCGTCCAATTGGTCCATTTTCCGTCTAAATTAACGGATCTCCGTTAGTTTTTTAATAAAATAATAAATTTAATTACAAAAATACTTCAGTAATTCTTAAAAATCTTAAAAATAACCCCTAAAATATATAAAAATAACAAAACAGTTCCTTTTCACTTTTTTATTTAATTTTTTTCTATCTTGTTCTATTTCTCTTTACTACTTTTAATGACCACAAAAGTCTATTATATGAGTTTTAAAAAAATATTTATTTATTTTTAAACTCTACTATAAAAATTAATCTTTGTATAGTTGTAACCCATGATTGTACTTATATAAGTATGTTAATCTTTTTAATAATATAGTTTAGCAATAAAGACACTATTTTTCTGATTTATTTTCATCTTCCTAATATAAAGATTAAAAACATTTAAATGAAACTAATATTTCACATAAAAATAAAATATTATCTCAAATAAAAAAATATTAATATATTTTAGTGTATTACAATTTAACTCAAGAGACTATAACTTGCATTAATATAATTCAAAAAAATAAATAAAATATAAAATAATTAAAACCTTAAAAAAATCCTCCAAACATAAGTTTTCCTTCTTGAATCTAAAGTCTATTTTCTATCACAACAACTTATTACTATATTGTTACCTTCATTCATTTATTTTAAACTAAAATTATATAGAATAAGCTAGTAAGACTTCCTCTATAGTAAGATATATTAATATCTCAAATAATTATTATAAAATGTTAAATTCTCGCATTGATAAGTATAAACATTTTTTTATAAATTATATTATGCAATATAGTCTCTCTAGTTAGTTAAATTATAATACACTAAACTATACTAATATATTTTTTTATTTGAGCTAATATTTTATTTTGATGTGGAATATTAGTTTCATTTAAATATTTTTAATCTTTATGTTAGGGAGAATAAAATAAATTAGAAAAATAGTGTCTTTATTACTAAACTATATTATTAAAAAGATTAACATGCTTATATAAATACAATCATGTGTTACAACTATACAAAGATTAATTTTTACGGTAGAGTTTGAAAATAAATAAATATTTTTTAAAAAATCATATAATATACTTTTATGGTCATTAAAAGTAGTTGAGAGAAATGGAACAAAATAGAGAAAAATAAAATAAAAAAGTAAAAAAAGACTATTTTGTTATTTTTATATATCTTAGGGGTTATTTTTAAAATTTTTAAAAACTGCTGGGTGCTTTCGTATTTAAATTTATTGTTTTATTAAAAAACTAACAGAGATCCGTTAATTTGGACGGAAAATGGACCGTTGGACGAAATTGGTGAAAATTTCAAATATTAGGATAAAGTTAGCTAATCGAAAATTTATTAGGTATGATTGACGACGAGGGCAAAATTTTAAGTAGAAACGACATTTTTTCCAAATCTAATGCTACGTACTTACTGTACTATGAGATTCAATTGACGACGTTTTCATTGCTACTACGTACTGATTTAAAGTTGTGAGGATTGGAGGATTGGGATTCAATTCATTCAAACCTTATATATCGTTACATTTTCATGATCCATTGACGATGTTTGGTATTCAGGAAACCATTGAAGGGATTGAATGTTTTCGGCTATGGGAAGAAGCTGTAAATGAAGCCTTTGAAGTTTGAATTGGAGTCTTCCATTTTGCTAATTTAAATTGCTATGAGTGCAGAACGGCATATGATCCTCTGTGACATTTTCTTGTGCCACTCATTATGACATAATCCAATTATTTCTTATAAATTATATAATTTGTGATGATACATATACCATAATCACATATTTTCAATATAAATAATTTTCATATGCTTATTTTATTTTTTTATATCAATGCTTTATTTATTTTTTAATGAAATTTGACTATTTTTATTAAACTTTTTAATGATGAAAATTAAAATAAATAAGTCCTAATCCGAAAAAAGTGAACCCTTAGTCCTAAAATATATAAGTTCGTGTTGAATAACATATGCATTAACACAAATTATATGATTTATAAGAAGTAATTAGATTGTGTCACAGTGAGTGGCATAAGAAAGTGTCACAGAGAATCCTATGCCGTGCAAAAGTGTTCGAAAAATGAAGATGCTTGATTGTACTCCTTTCGTCACAAAGTTATTTTCTAGTTTGAATTTTAATTTTAGTACAAATTGAACTAAAAGTGAAAATTCAAATTGGATGTTAATTTTGGGGCGGATGAAGTATTTGATATTGTCAGAGACTTTTTTTTTTTTAATTTTAACTTTTACGAGGAGATTGCGAATATTGCAACTTGGTGGAATGCTGTTGGTTAGAGATTTATAGAGTAAACACAAGTGAGTGAAGAGTGAATTGGTGCGATTAATTGATGGAATAATAAGGATAGTGTGACATGACGAATAAATAACAAGTCCTTTTGATGGATTGGAAACAAAAGTTGTTAACTTCGTAAGGCCCTCATTATTTTCTAATTTTGCATGACAATTATACATTGTTTAATTACTAGAAATACTTAAATTCTATGTATAGGATCTGACTATTTCTTACCCCAACTTTCGTGTTAGCCAATACACTCAACAATATTCCATCTCCAGTGATTTGAACGGAAATGGGACCTCTCGTCTTTATTATGTTCACTTCCAAAATTTTCTGCTCAAGACGTATGTACCCGAGGAGAAAGCAACGAATTTAGTGGTTTTTCGAGTATGGCACTCATTCTTTTCAAGATTAACTGTCTTGTTGACTATACAGTCACTACAGCTTGAATCACAGGTTCATTAAGGGAAAATATTAGTCTTTTTGTTAAGTCCTAGGACTCAATATTCACTTGCTGTTACTAAGTTAACAAGCCTTTGATAATTGAAGCAAGGATTATGCAGGTGTAGGTATTTTCGTAAACAGGGAAAAAGAAAAAATGGGCAAAAGAAATACGTGTAAGAATAAAGAAATAAGAAATTTGCCTTTATTCGAAGTAAAAAATAAAAAGAAAAAAGAAATTGAGAGAATAATTAACCAGAGTTACAAGAATAAAGATGATTAATTAATTTGATCATTGGGGAGATAATCCATCCCCTCTGCTTAATTTGTTTTGGAATAGAACAACGATTCTACAAGAAATTGATAAAAATGAACGAATAAATGCAGAAAAATTTGACTTCCGAATAGGGGAAAAAATAGACCCGGAATTTCAATTAATTTAGTCCGTCTTTGTTGTAAGCCCACATTCTTGTACGAAGATCGTTGTCTAGATCTCTTGGATTAGGAACCTGCGGAAATGGCCTTACAGTGTCGATCGGACTCGAAAAGAATTATGAAGAATTCCCTGAGAGAAAAAAAAAATTAAGGAAGGTTATGCTGAAGATTCATTATCATGAGCACATTAATCCTTTTTGTCAAGAAGATGCAATTAGCAACACTTTTTCGCCATCCCCCAACATTTTTTTTTATGTCGTTTCATGGTAACTTTCTTCTTTTCAAGCATTTGGACTCTGTGAAGTGACAACCCCGGTTTCCGTCTCCGATGCTGTCGATGTTTGGTGCGGATTTGATGAATCTATCAACAAAAAATTGAACTGTTACAGAAAGCGTCACACAAGCAAGAATAATTTTATGCCGACCCTATAGTTGATGAAGAAAACAATAGTGTTCTTGTCTCTCTCTAGTTTACCAGACCAATTGTGTCAAATTTTTGTGGGTATGTTTTTTGGCCTCTCTAAGATGCTTACATTAAAAATAACTTTGTTGAAGTACTACTTTAGAGAATCTTGATTGTGGACCAATGAAATCAAAGATGATAAGTAAATTTGACTGCAACTTTGATAACGATTCCATTGTTCTAGCTAAAGAGATTCACAATCTTTTACATGTAGTTTTGCTATTGTGACACTCTGGCATGATAAAGTTCCCCCTTCCGATTTGACCCCTTCCCAAGAGACCATAATGTGTCACTACATAAACTATACAGCTATGTTCTCACATGGTATCAATTCGTTGGTGGCCCCCCTCCCACTACATAAATATATTCCCACTTCATTGTTTTCCTATTTATCCATGGTTGTATAAGTTCGTATAGAGTAATGATATTCACAACGACAAAATCTAGACGTATTTTATTGTGCAAACCATTTATTTACTATCGTAATTTTTGTCACGTAAGATTTCATTCTTGTTAACTAACTTTGATATATAAGGGAAAAAGGGAGGTGAAGGATGTCAAAATCAGCAAAAGAGGATGAAAGTGAAAGATTGGAAAGGAGTGGTACTAACTTACCAGTTGAAGAGGCAAAGGGAAGCCTAACTGTTGGGGGTGGTTGTAATAAAGGAAGAGGAGAAGGAGGGAAACTAGGCGGGAAGGTGGCGGAGGAGCCTCCACTGCCTTCCTGTTGCATCGGGCCGGCCGGGTAGTACAAATAGGATGGCCCTTGGATCCGTTGTGCTGCCGCTGCCGGAGAAAATGTTCCCCTTGTAGGTGCCATGGAATATCCGTAGTAAAAAGGTGACCCCATTCCTGACGTTGAAGGTCCATATACTTGATGGTAATATTGAGCTGCCGCTGCTTGTTGGTGATGCATTTGTGGGTTGTAAATTGTCTGTCCAAATTGTTACCGAAAGTAGTAATTAATTTAAAACTGTTATTCATGTATGACTATCATTACGAAACGGGAAAAAGAATGCTAACAAGAGAAAATGAAGTACTTACTTGGGGGTAGCCGTATTCAGTTGAATACGTCGCGTACCTATAAAAACAGAAATTCCATTCATTAGCAATTGATACGATAGTGATAAATACATATGAAATACGATAAATGAACGCTACATGAATAATATAATCATATATACGAATACGAGTTATATAAGGAAACTTAAATGTCCATTGCAACATACATAGTCACTCATCTCACATCGCATTCACTCATTTATGCACATACAACTCATGATGTTTCAACTCAATTATTTAGGCAAAACAATGAAACTTTGGATATGTAGTGATTTGAGCTAGTTATATATACTTATATATAGATTATGGGGTTTGTTGGTTTAGGTGTAATATCGTTGTCTTCACCTAAACAGATGCAGATGAGACAAAGAGATGGATAACCTTGTACATACAAGAAACAAGCCATAAATGTCGAATTATGGATGACCAAACTTATCCATTACCACTAATTACCAAAACTTATTATTGCTGCTTTTTCCAACCAAATCCATCAAGTTAACATCGATCAACTGTCAATTTTTCATTTTTTTTTTATTTTCAATGTTAACTTTTTTTAAAAAAAAAAAGGAAACAGTCAATGTATCAAAAAAGGGGAAAAAAACATGAATAACGCGTAATCTGGTTCTTAATTTCATGACACTAATTTCGTCCCTGAAAGGTGCGTTGATGCCGGCCATATATAGACATTTCTTCCAACAATGCCTTAACACGAACTGTGAAGAACAGTCTCACAAAAAAGCTTCCAAACTACAGTTTCCGAATTTCCCATTGACAGCCATGAAGTATGCAATTTGTGAACACCATGTATATGTGCACTAGAACAGTCACTAAATTAAAAATAAATTACTCTATCCATTCAAAAGGAAAATTAATTGTTTTGTTTGTTTGTTTGTTTGACGGGGAAGCATTGAAAACATTTTTACTATTTGGTAGTGATGAATTGACAATCTCAGTGGTATCATGTGATAGTATTGAACCAAATGGGGATGTACAAGTTGGAGTCTTTTTGGGGGATAAAATCATAAAAAGACACAAAGGGATACAAATAGCTAAGTTGTACGTAGTAAAGACAGATGGAAAAAAGCCAAAATAAAAACACATGACTCTCTGTTGTTTGACTGGTAAACGAAGTGGAGAGGAATTACCATTTTTAATAAACAAAAAAAAAAAAGGACAGAGTAGTTGGAACTTGGAAACCAGCAAATGGAGAATACATATATCCATTTGCTGTTTGCTTACTGGTTTTTAAAATTCCCTCCCTTTCTTTCAAGATCTCTTACAAGAAAAAAAAAATAGAAGTGAAATTAACTAATGCCAAACCTTCATAAGAAGTAATTAAAGTTCAACTGAAAAATAATATTTTTTCTGTCAAAAAAAAAATCCTCAAAAATACTATGAATATGAAGGAAAACATTGTGGAGACTGTAACATAATGTTCAAACTTCAAATTGTAGAGGAACGTTATAAGCAAGCACAGGTCGCTTTTCTTGAAATTCGTGTATACATATTTTGGCTTTAATAAGCATATATATATATATATATATATATATATTCCAATAACAGGAATTGGAAACGAATTTCTTTTATACGGGTTTTGGAATGAATTATTAAAATGTCACCAGTATTTTTACCCAATCAAAAGGGAACGGGAAGTATCTAATTAAAAAGATTATGTATGGCTACTCGCCTACATGACATATGTGTTCATTCGTAGTCATTAGTATCTCCCGATTCCGGTTAAATTATCAGAAAATTGAAAAGAAAAAAAAAAAAGAAGAAAAACACTGAGTAGATAACAAAATGAAAATGAATACTTTGAATCACATTTTATAATACTATCGATTTTCACATTAAAGCCTTTATTTTGTAATCAATAAGTTTGTGTGTGTGGATGTTGAATCAGAGTAAGTATTTAGTTAATAACAGCTTTTTAGAATTTTCTACTTATTTTTCTGAAACGCATGCAATGCCCTACTGTAGAATGACCTTTTTGCATGAATTTTTTTTAATAAAAGAAAAAAAAATCATCGAATTTAAAACGTCAATCACAAGCATATATTGCCCACGGACAACGCAAATAACATCATCAAAAGAAGAAGAAGAGCAAAAAAGTGCCCTAATATCTCAAGAATACACCCAGAAAACTCTAAATTTCATCAAAATTATTATCATTGCATAGACGATGAAACACCAAACGTTAATTATAATGTTAGGGCGAAGAAATTAAGGTAAAGGTTTTTTTTTCCCCTTCTTTTCCTTTTTGCGCTACTGACAACTCATTGCAATAACCAAATTATTTATTGTGATCTGCCAATTTACCAACTGCATTGAATAAAAAAAAGAAAAATCATTTATACATTTTCCATATATACGTGTATTCCAATTTTAATGTTTTTCTCATCCAATTGGGAAATACTAAGAGAAACACGACAATAATTTGCATGTAATTTTATCCCACTGGCATTACCTGCCATTTACATCTTTTTCTTTCTGCAGTACTTTCACATGGACCATTTCCTATCAGTATTATGGTCTGGCAACCATGGCAGTGACTGAAACATCCACAAAAATAAAAACCACCCCAAAAGTCCCAACCCATAAAACAATTAATTAAAAAAAAATTAAAAAGGTTGAAAAAAAATAATTTTTACTTACCCATATGGTGGATAAACATAAGCAGTTGGAGGTGGAGGTGGTAATGGTGTTGGTGTCGGAACTCCACTATACGATGATGATGAACCAGTTCCTTGATACGGACTTCCACTTTGTGTTCTTCCTATTTAATTTTTTTTTTTTTTTGGGGGGGGTCAAAATAAGAAAATTACTTAAAGGGAATTAAACCCAATTGAATAATGATCATATAATAATTCATGTTAATTACAAGAATGAGAGAATCAAGTTACCTCGTTGAGGTGAAGGTCGGGGTCTTCCTAGAGAAGCAATGTTACAATTTGCTCTTCTTCCATCAATCATTGGGTTTGCATCCACACAAGCCCTTCTAGCCGATTCAGGATCACGAAATGTAACCTATATTTGAAACACATAAACAATTAAATCGGCAAAAAATTAATCCATTTTTCTGATCATATATAGAAGAAGGGAAAAACATTAATTTTAAGTTGTTTTTTGGACTTACAAAGCCATATCCTTTGGACTTTCCGGTGTTCTTATCGGTGATGATAACGGCTTCGAGAATTTCTCCAAACTGCTCAAAATACCTTCTCATTACATCTGTTGGTGTTTCCCAAGCCAGCCCTCCAACGAATACTTTTGTGTGAGTCGTGTCACCAAATGGTGATCGATAATGCTGATAAGCCATGGCATTTACAAAAAAAGCCAAATGATCCAATGAGAAAGAGAAGAAAAAAAAACCCTTATGAATCAACCCTTCATATAGATATGTTGTCTGAATTGATGATGATCATCTTCCCATGCAACTTGAAATTAACTAGTTATATGTATTAATTGTGATCATGAATAGGATAGGTGGGAGGAACATGAACAAAAAAAAAAATGCTTCTTGTTGTTGTTGTTGTTGGTAGTATATTGAGTTTTGGGTTCAGCTGTTGTGTATCAAATGTTCTTAACTAGAAAAAGAAGAAATTGAAGGCTAAAAATATGGAGAGGGGGAGTTGATGAATTGATGATGATGATGGTGGTGGTGGAAGAGAGAGAGAAGGAGAGAAGGAGATATAGATGACTGTGTGAGTGTGTGAGAGAGAAAGAGGGGAAAAAAGTGAAATTGATCCCCGACAATTGCAAACTCTTATTTGCTGGACATGAAACAATTGTAAGTAAGAATGGGAAGGAAGAGGAAGAGGAGGAGGAAGAGAGGATGAAAGGCTTAATTGGTTAATACTTTCTTAACTAAAATACCATCCAATTGACAGCTGCATGAGTTATAGAGCACTTTGACTCTGTCCTTCCTGTCACACTGCATTAATATACCCTCCCTTCCTCCAATCAATGATTTCCTTTTCCTTTCTCCATATATATGTTTTTCCCCCCTTTTTTCTTTGCTTTTATTAATTCTTGCCTTTCTGTGTTTGTGTTTTTTTCCTCCTTGTTTTCTTTTGGGGTTAGCTTAGGCCTAATCTCTCTTGTTTCTGTACCCTTCACTAAGTTGTCTTGATGACCCTTGGTGAGCAATCTGCGCCAATTTGACGGAAAATTGAGACCTTAAAACCAGTTTAAGGTTTTTTCCCTCGTGAAAACCGTATTACTAATATTGTCCGGTAGGACATTTATTTTACGAGTTAATCTTTATTTTTCTATTTGAACTTGTATTCGTAAGTTATCGTCTTACTAGATTATTCGCAGCTCAACAAGTATGTCGACTCTAATATAAAAACCAGCACTTTTAAGTTTGTAATGGCCAAAACATGATCCGATTGTCATTTATCTACACAATCATTTACATTTCTAGTTTAATAATTCATACCTTCCAACTATATGATTGATAGAGTGGAAATACTTAATGATGTGGGATTCGTATTTTTAGCTACTTTTCTTTTTTCAAAAAAAAAAAAAGAAAAAACTTGATAATAGTTGTACAGAGTATAGTTGTGTTCTTCCTGTCATTAGTTAATCAATCGATGTGGTTGTGTTTGAAGTTTGAACTTTTTGTTGATTCTTATGCTATCTCCCATTTTCGAAGTATACATATATATATATATATATATGTAAATGTAATTGTACACCATATATAATCAACGTGGACCCTGCTATATGAATGAGCCACTTGCGCATCATGTATCAAAGAATCGTATTCCGCTATACTAATGTTATGTAACCAATCCCAAGTAGGTTTTCTTAAGGCATTAGTCAAAGAAAGATTTATTAAAAATGGATGAAACATAGATTGGCTCCACTCTGTATTTTGAATTCATTTTTTTAGTTTTAATTTATTTGTGATTTTTTTCGGTTAAGAAGGTACACAGATTTGGTCGTTATGTGACATATGTAAGAGAAACAATAGTATCTTCTTCTTCATTAGTTGTGGTTCCCTTCTGGTGTGGTTTCTGTTAGAACTATTCCTCTAAGCTGTATTTTATATTCTTCTATTTTCATAATTCGGAGTTAGATGATTAATGATTTCAGAAAAGGTGCCTCACAGTGTAAACTAGGTCAAGCAATCTGAGGTTGTCTGAAATGTCCAACTGCAAATGACTTTTCTTAATTAGTTTTGACATTGTATATCTTGTGTTTCTGTTCCAAGAAAATATAATATTTGTTGAATTAATACATTTTATTAATATAGATCAGACTCGTTTTTTTTTTTTAGAATGGAAAGAATATATACAACGATAATTCAATATTCAGGAAATTAAGAGGCATGAAATGAAATTCCATTTACTTCAACTAAAGCTTACTTACATTACGGAGTTGATCGTGTTTCCCACCGCAAATCAAAACTTAATTTATTGTCTAACCAAAAAAAAAAAAGAAAAAAGAACTCGAGTTCTTAGACGCGGAGAACGTGATACAATTTGGAGACGTGCAAATAGTACACTCACTTTTAAGTTTCAGACACAAGGCAAAAAAAAAAAAGTCTTCCTTTGCTTAAAACGGACAAAGCATAACATTGTTTCCATCTTCAAATGTACTAACTAGCTTTAAAATTAGAATGCGTGATGTGATAATGTTTTATGTACAATATGTCTGCTTTTCGATACGTTTAATTGACAAGTTTGATATATTGAAATTGGCAGTAGGTTTTTTAGCTCAGAATGACGAGATGTTAAAAATTAAAAAATGAGATGTTTTAAATGAGAGTATGCAATAGTCGTGTAATTCACATCGATCCTTTTCGGGTTGATGGGTTTTGTAAAGAGGCCAACATGTTACATAATTAAATTTTCTGAAACATTATTATCTTATTATTTTATCGGTTTTTTTTCATTTTTTATACCGATCTTAACTGGAAAAAATTATTAATTACTAGAAGTTGTTAATTTATCGATTCTTAATTTACCATCGTTCTACTGAATAATGAGATTTTGTGAGATATTTACATGTTGAAAACTGTGTATCCTAAATCTCAAGTTGAGACCTTAAATCAATCAAAACCAATATTCCCACATGATCCCACGTTACAAAGTAAAACCAAACAGTACAAATGTTGTTAATTAAGCCAATTGTGATTAACCACCGAAGAAATCAACTTGATAGAAACAGTTAAAAGATCCCCTTGTTAGCCTTACAGATAGACAAATAAACTAATCTAAGATATAAGATAAAGAAGAAGAAAAAAAAAAAGAAGCATATTTTTTTGTCAGTGGTCGGCTGTCATAAAGGTAAATTAGTCCAAATTCTCTCATTGACCGAAAACTGAATGACCAGTCAAACCGTTATATATTTAACTACGTTAATCAGGAAGATTTCATTTGCCAAAAAACAAACTACAACAAATCAACCCTTATAAGCCAAATGCATATTGCTTTTTAGCTTTTTTGAATTCTCCAAAATCGATGACAACTGCATGGGCGAAGAATAAACTAATCTGGCATATTATTTAGCACAATTCTCTTCCATATCAAGCCTGGACTAAAGCTTTTGGATGGTATATACGATGATGATGATGTTAATGATGATTCTAAGAGAAATGATGTATTTTTAGTACATTTTTACAGCTTTTATTTTGCACTTTTGAGTTTAAAAACTATGAACAAGAAGAGATAGCCATTTTTTTATTATAAAAAAAAACATCTGAAAAATTGGCACACGCACACAGAGAGAAAAGGGAAAGATCGAGGATCATTTCAGAGCAGGCGCGACAAAAGCTTAGTAATATAACAAGATGGAGAAATAAGAAAAAAGTTTGCATGCCATATATGGTGGTCATTATCTTAGCTTGTTGCAAAGCAAAGCGTTGAGGACGATGTGAGACAGCTAAAAGGTCCTCTTCTCTTTAGCAAAATGGATCATCTGCAATCTTTTAAGTACAGTATTAATCAAATTATGAATAGTAAATGATACCATGTCATTAATTAGGTTTTGACATACTTTATAAAATTAACGATATACTCTTCATAGTAATACGTATAATTGTTATTTCACTGATGAAACGTAATTGATACGTGAAAACTGAGACATTGAACTTTTTATTTCTTCTCTGACTAGTTATTGCACGAAAAGGATTTTATTTTGCTGGCATTTTTCTTTTTTGCTAATTGTGAATGATATGATTTTTTTTAGTACATTAATTTCGTATTTTAGACTAATATTTGATTTGCAAGAAAACAGATTTGACCGAATTAGAAAGGTTTTGGGAAAATCAAGAGAGTTGAAGATCAAGTAGTCTCAAGACAAACAAATGACGGATTTAGTAAAAGAAAAACTATGAGAGGATTGTTCATATTTTCTTTTTATGATATCATTGATATAAAAAAGTTGAGATATTGATTTTTTTTTTTCCGAAGTCTTTGTACTTATAATAAATATAGAGAAGTATTTAAGTAATTATCCTTTAGGACCCTTACTGTACAAGTCCGTGAACTGGCAGTCCTCTCCACGTTGGGGTCCTGTCATTCTTTGAGAACTATGAGCTGGATTTCATCCCCTTTCCATTCTGGTTCTTGCAAAAATCTCATTTGATCATTTGCATTTTGCCCTACCCTCTTTTGTTTCCCATTATTTCTCCCCACCACCAACATACACATATATACCCACAAAAGATTCGGCCAAAATATATATAGTTGCCTACATGTAGAATTAATGTCGTCATATTTTATCGTTCCAAACTAAAAGTACATTTTATTTTTTGATACGAAATGCTAACATGTTTCTTCTTTGTTCATTTTTTTTTTTTTTTTTAACAAACTTGTTGTTTTTAAACGTACATCTTTCTTTTAATACAGAAAAGGATATCAAACTTGAAAAGTTATGTAATTACATATCGAAGATAAATAACCCTAATAACAATATGATCGGGATATGTCAGAAGGAGGATTTCATATCTATAAGCAACCATTCGGCCCCATACGCATTCTTCTCCGGCACACCTTATGCCTGTTCTGGCTAGTCCCACCTCAACCATCTCCGGTAATCAATTTAACCAACACAACCGATAAGGCATTGTCCAAAAACTATTTTTAAACTGCAAATGGGATTTCTGAAGTTATTTTTCTTCATCATTTTCTTATATTTAGTTAGTTGATAAATAGTCCCTTTCGATTTATTTACAGTATAATGTATAGTGTTTTATATATGAGTTCGTTGTTCTCCTCAAACATTAATTGATATGAGGAACTAACAAGAGTTTTCGTTTTAATAATACTATGGTGAAAGACTAGCGCATTATTTTTTATATTTTTCACACATTCAGAAATTATTATTCAATCAGAATAAATATTTTTGAAACAGATTATATTATTATAGATTAATAATTCGAACAGGATAATTATTTTACTAGAAAGGGATACTCAAATTCGACATAAGAACCGAAAAGAAAAACCTACGGTTATCCTATAACCTATAACCGTAGACTTGCATCAAATGATGGGAAAGGTGCAGTAACAAAATGCCTCATGTCCCAAAAAGTATGGAGCCCTAACTACCTCATTTAGTCGTTGACAATCAGTTTTTGATTATACCTCACTAACTCGAACTGTACATATATATTGAAAAAGGAAAAAAAAAAAAACCACACAAACAATCGCTGGCTTTCTAACAACTCTCATTACAATCAACGACTGTTGCTAGAGAAAATCAAGAAACATCCACCAAGGTTTTTCCATCATTATGTCCCTGTCTATCAACGACCTTTTAGCAGCTTTCCAAATTCCAACTTCATGTTAAGGTTTTGATCTTTTCATTCTTGCATTAATATTGTTTTTTGCTCTTTTTTTTTTCCCACAACTGAAGTAGTAATATTCATAGTATCACCAAAATGGGAAAAAACAAGAATCTCTTATTGTGGGATCAAAGTGAGAGATTATTTGGTTCATCT